CGTCCGCCCGGCGCCGCCAGCTCCGCTCATATCGCCACCGGCAGGCTGCGTCGCAGCGCTCAACGCCACCGACTCCTCCGCCGCTTGCAGCTTCGTCTCGTACGCCTGCAGCCGCTCCTTGGACACCGACACCGCGCGTCCGGACCCCGTCGTGAACAGACTCGTCACCATCGTGGAGCTCCCGTCACGCCCGGCGCCGCCAGCTCCGCTCATATCGCCACCGGCAGGCTGCGTCGCAGCGCTCAACGCCACCGACTCCTCCGCCGCTTGCAGCTTCGTCTCGTACGCCTGCAGCCGCTCCTTGGACACCGACACCGCGCGTCCGGACCCCGTCGTGAACAGACTCGTCACCATCGTGGAGCTCCCGCCACGCCCGGCGCCGCCAGCTCCGCTCATATCGCCACCGGCAGGCTGCGTCGCAGCGCTCAACGCCACCGACTCCTCCGCCGCTTGCAGCTTCGTCTCGTACGCCTGCAGCCGCTCCTTGGACACCGACACCGCGCGTCCGGACCCCGTCGTGAACAGACTCGTCACCATCGTGGAGCTCCCGCCACGCCCGGCGCCGCCAGCTCCGCTCATATCGCCACCGGCAGGCTGCGTCGCAGCGCTCAACGCCACCGACTCCTCCGCCGCTTGCAGCTTCGTCTCGTACGCCTGCAGCCGCTCCTTGGACACCGACACCGCGCGTCCGGACCCCGTCGTGAACAGACTCGTCACCATCGTGGAGCTCCCGCCACGCCCGGCGCCGCCAGCTCCGCTCATATCGCCACCGGCAGGCTGCGTCGCAGCGCTCAACGCCACCGACTCCTCCGCCGCTTGCAGCTTCGTCTCGTACGCCTGCAGCCGCTCCTTGGACACCGACACCGCGCGTCCGGACCCCGTCGTGAACAGACTCGTCACCATCGTGGAGCTCCCGTCACGCCCGGCGCCGCCAGCTCCGCTCATATCGCCACCGGCAGGCTGCGTCGCAGCGCTCAACGCCACCGACTCCTCCGCCGCTTGCAGCTTCGTCTCGTACGCCTGCAGCCGCTCCTTGGACACCGACACCGCGCGTCCGGACCCCGTCGTGAACAGACTCGTCACCATCGTGGAGCTCCCGCCACGCCCGGCGCCGCCAGCTCCGCTCATATCGCCACCGGCAGGCTGCGTCGCAGCGCTCAACGCCACCGACTCCTCCGCCGCTTGCAGCTTCGTCTCGTACGCCTGCAGCCGCTCCTTGGACACCGACACCGCGCGTCCGGACCCCGTCGTGAACAGACTCGTCACCATCGTGGAGCTCCCGTCACGCCCGGCGCCGCCAGCTCCGCTCATATCGCCACCGGCAGGCTGCGTCGCAGCGCTCAACGCCACCGACTCCTCCGCCGCTTGCAGCTTCGTCTCGTACGCCTGCAGCCGCTCCTTGGACACCGACACCGCGCGTCCGGACCCCGTCGTGAACAGACTCGTCACCATCGTGGAGCTCCCGCCACGCCCGGCGCCGCCAGCTCCGCTCATATCGCCACCGGCAGGCTGCGTCGCAGCGCTCAACGCCACCGACTCCTCCGCCGCTTGCAGCTTCGTCTCGTACGCCTGCAGCCGCTCCTTGGACACCGACACCGCGCGTCCGGACCCCGTCGTGAACAGACTCGTCACCATCGTGGAGCTCCCGTCACGCCCGGCGCCGCCAGCTCCGCTCATATCGCCACCGGCAGGCTGCGTCGCAGCGCTCAACGCCACCGACTCCTCCGCCGCTTGCAGCTTCGTCTCGTACGCCTGCAGCCGCTCCTTGGACACCGACACCGCGCGTCCGGACCCCGTCGTGAACAGACTCGTCACCATCGTGGAGCTCCCGTCACGCCCGGCGCCGCCAGCTCCGCTCATATCGCCACCGGCAGGCTGCGTCGCAGCGCTCAACGCCACCGACTCCTCCGCCGCTTGCAGCTTCGTCTCGTACGCCTGCAGCCGCTCCTTGGACACCGACACCGCGCGTCCGGACCCCGTCGTGAACAGACTCGTCACCATCGTGGAGCTCCCGCCACGCCCGGCGCCGCCAGCTCCGCTCATATCGCCACCGGCAGGCTGCGTCGCAGCGCTCAACGCCACCGACTCCTCCGCCGCTTGCAGCTTCGTCTCGTACGCCTGCAGCCGCTCCTTGGACACCGACACCGCGCGTCCGGACCCCGTCGTGAACAGACTCGTCACCATCGTGGAGCTCCCGCCACGCCCGGCGCCGCCAGCTCCGCTCATATCGCCACCGGCAGGCTGCGTCGCAGCGCTCAACGCCACCGACTCCTCCGCCGCTTGCAGCTTCGTCTCGTACGCCTGCAGCCGCTCCTTGGACACCGACACCGCGCGTCCGGACCCCGTCGTGAACAGACTCGTCACCATCGTGGAGCTCCCGCCACGCCCGGCGCCGCCAGCTCCGCTCATATCGCCACCGGCAGGCTGCGTCGCAGCGCTCAACGCCACCGACTCCTCCACTTCATTTTCTTGCGCAATCTTCCCATTTTCACTCATCTGCGTCGACGTCGCAGCCGCTAAGAAATCGCTGGCGCTGGCGTCCACCACTAGCGACGCTTCTGCACTCGCCGTCAGGCTCCAGGTCTCGCTGCTCTGCGTGAAGCCGCTCAAGGGCGGACTAGGAGGATCCGCCCTCGCCGACTGCGACGCGCCTGTGCGCCGGCGCTTCCTGCTGGGGCTGCGCGCGGCGCCTCTGTTCCTCGTCGCCCTCCGGCGGCTGCGCGCGTGCTCCGCGTCCTCCAGCGACAGGCGCGCGACCTTCTCGTCCTGGAACATGAGGATCTGCATGGCCGTGTCGAAGTCCTGCTCGAACACCAGCAGCTCATCGAACGCCGCCCGCAGAGCGGCAGCGCCGCCGGCCGCCTCCATTCTGCCGCGCTAATTGACCTATGCTGCGGCAACTTTTTGGCGCCTTACCGGTTCATAACCGATACGCAGCTGTGCTTAACAGCTGTGCCACATACTTAACCGTTATTCGTCGCGTTATCTAACTAGATCGAAGAGGCGCAGAAGCCGTAACGAGATGCCGCAGCCTGTGCTTGACCTGGGGCTGCTGACTGCGGCTAGCAAGGATGCAGCTGTGGGCAGGGGCGAGGAGAGCAAGTTCGACGATGTCATGGCGCTGCAAGAAGAGCCTATCAAGGTACGATGGAGATAAGTGGTACATGTACATGCACGCGGGCTCGGCCGTACTAACGAGGTGGTCGATCGAGTAGATCACTTTCCTGCTCCCAGACGACTCGACGGTGACGAACGAGGTAAGGGGCTTCAAAGTCATCGGCCGTCGCTGTGTGGACGTGCTGAGGTGTTGTTTGTTGGGCTCGTCCAGTTCAAGAAAGGTCACACCATTGCCGTGCTGAAGGCCTTCCTCGAGGACGAGTACGACCTCAAGCAGGAGCAAACGGTGAGGGCAGTTGCATGTTGCACGAAGGGTTCTTGTTGGGGTAAGTTAGTTGCTGACACGTGCACTGTACGAGCAGCAACTTTGCCTGAACGGGGCCACGCTGCTGGACCCGTTCTCCTTGACGGACTTCCCGTGCGTCTTGGAAGCGTCGGCGATCGACATCCAGGTGAGGCGCAGCGGCTCCGGCGACGCCAAGAGCAGGAAGTGAAGCAAACAACAAAGATGGAGCTGGTGGTACGAAAAAAAAACTGGTCGAATTGTCTATGCTAGATACAGACTTATAATAGTTTGCATTGGATCCTTTCCAGTTTTGTTTGATTTTTCGAGCTCGATGTACAACGTTTTGAACGTCTAAGACCTCAAGCAACAACCACGATGTTGTATAAATGCCCCTCGGGCACAGTGATCGCGCAAAAATATGTGTTTTGGCTCACTCATCTTATGCGGCAGTGCTCAGTGAGTACGTGGAGGCCACGTGCACAGCAATTGCTTCGGTCAACGAAATCCGACACATCGTTACTACGCTGGTCTGTTGAACAGCGTCTGGCTTCGGTCGTGACGAATGTATCGGATACCACAGACGCAACCCATGCCAGCACAAAATCCTTGGGCTCACCATTGAGTTGGCTCGGCAAATTTTGTGAAACGCCACCCGCGCCATGCACTGCAGCCTGCTTTCAGAAAACGCACCCAGTCGCTGAAACTTGCTGCAGCATATTTTTGCTGTCCGTGCCTGCTCGAGCTGCTCGTCCACAGACCTGTGCGGGTACATATGGGTTCGCCCAGCAACGGCTTCAAGCACATGCCTTCCCGCCGTCTTCCGGGGATTCAGGGTCTCGTTCCGCTAGCTACAATAGCTGTGCCTCCCTCGCCTCCATTCCCGAATCCTCTCTGTCCAAGCCTCATTGATCAGCTCTCACTTCTCGCGGCCGAAGCATGCGCCTCCGAGGCTTCAATCTGTGGACTGGAGCACTGTTGGCTCTAGCGGCCCACATCGCTGCGGCTCAAACCTACGATGCCATCGTGGTGGGCAGTGGGCCCGGTGGTCTCGTGGCGGCCGAGTACTTGTCGAGGGACCCGACCGTCTCCGTGTTGATCCTCGAAGCTGGTCCGAAGTCTCTGGCTGCCACTGGCGGAACCGACAGCCCCAGCTACGCCCAGGGCAGCGGCCTGACCAAGTTTGATATCCCTGGTGAATTCGACAACACCATCTACAACGCGGCTAATGAGCAGTACCGAGTGGACTGGATCACCGACGCCTACATGTGGCTCGGTAAGCTTGTAGGTGGGTGCTCGTCCATCAACGCCGCGCTCTACTTCCGTCCGCCGGACGCGTACGTCACGCAGACCCAGTGGCCATTTTCAGCGGCTCAAATGGTCGCCAAGATGGATGAGAACGAGCAGCTCCACGGCCACACGGACAAGCCTTCGAGTAACGGCGTCTGGTACACGCAGGAAGGATACAACATCGTCTCGAAGGCGCTGCTGGCGAAGGGATACGCGGAGCGTACCATCAACGACGCTAGTGCCCGCAACAGCAAGAGCAAGACGTTCGGTCACGCCCCGTTCACCTTCAAGAACGGCAAGCGCGACACTCCTGCCGCTGCTTTCTGGGGAGCGATGAGCTCTCGAAGCAACGTAAAGCTCCTCACCGGAGCCAAAGTCGATTATCTTCTCCGTGCTGCGGGTGGCAAGGCCACTGGCGTCGTCTACAACGGCGGGACCCAAGCGCTTCTGTCGGCTCGAGGCACGGTGCTCATGGCTGCCGGAGCGCTGAGTACGCCCAAGGTTTTGATTCAGAGCGGCATTGGTCCTGCCTCTCAGCTCAATCTTCTAAACGGCCGCAATGGCTTCGCTGGAGTCTCCCAAGCGGCTGGCTGGGTCACGAATGCCAACGTGGGGCGGAACCTCTTCGACACGAATGTGGTGTTTGCCTCCTTCTCGCACCCACAGATGAGCTCGTTCCAGTTCAAGAACCGGCCGACTTCAGCGACAGATCAATACATGAGCAGCTTCTCAGGTCCGTGGACTAGCTCAGGCCCAACGCTGATCAGCTACGAGAACTACGATGTCCAAGGCCGCGCGTATGAGTTCCAGTCCACCGCGCTCACGACCGGATTCGGCGAGTTTTATAACCGCGGGGACGCCTTCACGCTCTCGCTGTACGTGAACAACCCTGAAGGTCGAGCGGCCTCGGGATTCGACAGCAATGGCAACTGGAAGGCTTTCAATGAAGGAAACGCGTACTTCGGCACTAGTCGCGACCTCGCTGCGATGCAGTCGTACGCGCAGAACGTCGTCAAGGCGATGGTGGCTCAAGGCGCCACCTTCCTGTCTGCTTCTGGGTCAGATGACACTACCGTCGCCAACTGGGTCCAGTCCTACGGCGCTCGGATCACTCACCACTTCGGCGGTAGCTGCTACGCGTCCAGCAATACCGCGGACTCAAACCGATGTGCCGATGAAAAGCTGCGCGTCATTGGCATGGCCAACGTGTTCGTGGCAGACGCGAGTGCCATGCGCGACGGTACTGTGGGTCCGTACAGCTTCATCATGTACATTGGTCGTGAGGCCGCTGACCAAGCCAAGAGCTACATAGCTGCCAACGGTAATGGTGGCGGCGGTGGTGGCAGCTCGAACTCCACCTGCTCGAGCTTTGAGAACGGCGTGGACTATCTGAACAACGATCTGAGCAATGCTCCGAGTTCAGCAGCTTCCGGATGCTGCGCTATTTGCTCGGCCACCTCGGGTTGCAAGGCGTTCACGTGGACCGACAACGCCGGAGGCACGTGCTGGCTCAAGTCCGGCAAGGGAAGTACCCAAAGCAAGAGCGGCGCCATTTCGGCTGTGCTTCAGACCTCGTCGACGTCTGGCTGCTCTACGGTTGAAGACAACACCGACTACACTGGAGCCGATGTCGGCAACAAGCCCAGCGCTTCTGTGGACGGGTGCTGCTCGATCTGCACGGCGACCAGCGGGTGCGGGGCCTACACGTGGACAGACTACAACGGCGGAACTTGCTGGTTGAAGAGCTCCAAGGGCTCCGGAGTTACCAAAAGCGGTGCCAAGTCTGCTGTGGTTAGTGGATCAACCGGGGGTGGCGGCGGCAATGGTGGTGGGGGTTCTACCTCTTCCTGCACTGCGATCGAAGAGGGCGTGGATTATACCGGCAACGACTTCGGCAGTGCGCTCAGCGGTACGGCTGAGGGTTGCTGTGCTGTTTGCCAGGCCAAGACTGGATGCAAGGCCTACACTTGGACGAACTACAATTCGGGTACGTGCTGGCTGAAGAGTGGCAAGAGCGGCACTACTAGCAAGAGCGGCGCTCGGTCAGCTCAAGTCAGCTCTTCTTCGACGGCCACGTGCACTATTGTGAACGACATCGACTACAAAGGCAATGATCTCTCTAGCACCCCCAGTGCTCCCAGTGGAACTGGTGCTGGTTGCTGCGATATTTGCCGTGCGACGTCAGGATGCAAGGCGTTCACGTGGACCACTCAGAGCGGAGGAACCTGCTGGCTCAAGTCTGCGCAAGGGACCAGCTCGCCCCTTGTCGGCGCTGTATCCGGAGCCATCTAACTTCCATCAGCTCCAGCCAAGACCTTCTTTCTACTTACATGTAAATGTTGGAGAGGACTTGTTCTCCCACTCATCAGGCACTAGCAAAATGATAAATGTATGATCTTGGTGTATCTTCAGAACGGGTGCCGAGATCAATAGTGAATCCGATTCGACAGATCTAAACGGAAATGACAAAGAACAGTAAAGACCCAACGCTACTGTCGCTGCTCGACAACGCCGAGTATAGGGCGCGCTGCTGTCACTGATAGGCGCCATGTATCAACGCTCTGTCGCCGCACCGACCAGTCCGAGTTTCGCGAGCAAATGTTTGAATGACGAAGCTGGATCTAAGTGACGCGAGACAGAAAAACATTTCGAGACTTGGACGACTGATGCAAGTGAGGGCACTGGTGCTGCCACCCGAACCAACGAAGATTTATTCGTCAGAGCTGAAGTGTCTGCGATTGATTCGCCGTCTCTGGGGCAAATAACGTGCCCGAAGTCGATTTCTCTGACACTCTCGGGGGAGTACCCTGGAGTCCAGGAATGGACTTTGTCCACAGAAACCCTCACCTTCTAGAGCATGTCACCTGGAACCCCTTGGCAACACTGCGCTTGATCTTGGTTGGTGGTGGATGCTCAGCTCCAGAATCTTCACTTCGAAATTGCGCCCTAGCCTGGACGGACTCATGATTGTAGATTTTACCAGGAGAGCGAGTCCCTTGGCGCTTTGGCCGCGGTGCAATCAACAGAAACATGAAGCGCCTGGACATCCAAGGCGTAGAAATCGATAACATCGAGTTTGTGCGGTATGTGCCCGACCTCGAAGTGCTGCAAATTGACAACTTCCTTGCAGTAGTTATTCACGTGCTACCCCATGGTCACACGGACGATTGAACGCCCACGCACTGAGTCTGTGTTTTATCGCAACGGGTATAGGCGCGCTGACCGAATAGAACAACGGTGCCTACGCGTTGTAGTACGACAGCGCGAAACATAGATTGCTTGGAACTTCATTCAAATGCTGCTGCTAGCTCATTATTAGTCCTTAAACTACACAGTTTGAAGTTTTTAAGGTAGATGACAATCGGGTAATCCGCTCGAGGTGAACTGGGCTTCATGTACGCCTGGAAGATTGGAGTCCCTAGCCCAGTTTTTTTTTATCGGTGGAGCGCGGGGGTAGAACTTCAATTTGAAACTGTTAATTCGATAATCGAAACCGCAAAATGGATACCTTTTCACTTGCAGGTGCGTCTAGCGATGCGCCTTCAGTTCCAACTCATTTCCAATTTCTCCCCCAAAACCCCCAAGCTCCACTCCTTCCAGCAGCATGCAGTCACCGCTGCCTTTTCTGAGCTCTTGGATTTTTGATGAACCTCTGTCCATGAGCATGAACATGAAGTTCCTGTTCACGGTCGCCACCGCGAGGCTGCTGGTGAAGATGGCAACGTCATTGCATCACAAACTGCGTATTGCGCGTGGGTTGGCACCTCTAAGCGGGCCCCCAGGGGTTTGGCTACTTGGCAACATGCCAGCGTACATCAAGAACCGCGACCGCATGTACCATTTCTTGGTAAGTATTGAGCATTTTGTCGCTAGTCGATTCAATGCTGGAGTCTAATGATGTTTTGTGTTTTGTTGCAAACCAGGAGGATCTGCTTAAGCAGCATGGCGGTCGAATGAAGATGCCGTGGCACCTTTTCTTCGATGGAGCCATCTACGTGCGTAACTTGTTGCATTGGCTACGGCGCGGTTGTGTGTTCTAATTGGCGTTTGCTACTTAGATCACGGACCCGAAGGACGTCCAGCACATCTTGTCGACCAATTTCGACAATTACGTGAAGCCTCAGGGGTTTCTGGATGCCTTTCAAGAGATCTTCGAGAACTCGTTCTTCGCTGTGAATCACCACGCCCAGGCTCCGGATGGAGGTGCTGGTTGGCGACTGCAACGCAAAGTGGCGGCGAAAGTGTTCACCACCGCCAACTTCCGCATCTTCACCGAACAAGTATTTGCCAGACACGCAGAGGAGACGCTATTGGCAGCACAAGCCGAAGCGACTGAGTCGAGAGCTCGAGAGGATCCTGACGAGCGCTTCTGCTGCGATATGCAGGAGATCAGTGCCAAGTACACGCTGAACTCCATCTTCGATGTCGCCTTTGGTCTCCCTCTGAGCGAGATTGAGGGGACGGAAAACTTTGCGGAGCACATGGGGTTCGTGAACACGCACTGCGCACAGAGGCTCTTTGTCAAACAGTACTACAAGCTGCTTCGATGGGTCATGCCCAGTGAGCGAGAGCTACGACGTCGCACGCGTGAGATTCGGGCAGTCGCTGACACCGTCTTGCTTCGTCGTCTACAAGAATCTCAAGAGAAAATCAACGCACGGTCAGATCTGCTGTCACTTTTCATCCGCAAGGCTCGGGAGCTTGCTTTCGAAAGCACCAAAGACCAGAAGGTTGACGCTGCGTCTTTGTTGGGGCCTAAAACGCTGCGGTCCATCCTCTTGACGTTCGTCTTTGCTGGCCGAGATACGACAGCTGAGTGCCTCACCTACAGCTTCTACGCGATCGCTCGGCACCCGCGAGTCCAGAAGCAAATTGTGGAGGAGCTGGAGTCGACCAAGGAGAACACTGGGTCGACTCACGCAACTTTCACGTTTGATCAAGTGAAAGAGATGAAATACCTCGAAGCCGTCGTGTACGAAGCCGTTCGATTGTACCCAGCACTACCCTTCAACGTCAAGAACGCTGTGAAGGACGACTACCTTCCCGACGGCACCTTCGTCCCTGCAGGCGTCGACGTCGTCTACAGTCCGTGGTTCATGGGTCGCAACGGCGAGCTTTGGGGCAATGATCCGCTCGAATTCCGCCCTGAACGCTGGCTGGAGATGCCCAAGCGCCCGAGCGCGTACGAATTTCCTGCCTTTCAAGCTGGTCCGCGGGTGTGCTTGGGCATGGGCATGGCCGTGTTGGAGGCCAAGCTCTTCCTCGCCACCACACTCAGTCGTTTTCACGTAGCCATCGCACCTGGCGAGAAGCAGGAGCGAGGCTACGTGCTGAAATCGGGACTCTTCATGGACGGCGGTCTGCCGCTGCAGATGACCCCACGACCTCAGTCTGCAGCATCAGCTTAGGACTGCTTAACCTCCGGATTGTCGACAACATAATTCATTTCATTCACTGCCTGCAATAATGGTAAGGTCGTCTCACCACTTCAACATGAGCGTGAGCCTTGACATAGCTCCCTAAAATTAGCGGACTTTGGTGTCGTTTCTTGGCGGGGTTTCGACGCGCAGGGGCCTGGGTCGAGAGCCATAAACAGATAAACAAACTTCTCGCTCACAGGACGCGATCGTCTCTAGGAACGGAAGGAATGGGGCTCTTCAAGCTGCTGGCGAGTGCGTTGGGCATCAAGAAGACCCAGGTCCGCATCCTCGTGGTGGGGCTGGACAACAGCGGCAAGACGACGCTCGTGAACCACCTCAAGCCCAAGAAGAGCCAGGCGCGCGAGGTCGTCCCGACCATCGGCTTCCAGGTGGAGGAGTTCACCAAGTCCAACCTCAACTTCACCGTGTTCGACATGTCCGGCCAAAGCCGCTACCGGAGCTTGTGGGAGAACTACTACAGCGACGTCCAGGCCATCATCTACGTGCTAGACTCCACGGACACCATCCGCATGTGCGTGGCCAAGGATGAGCTCGAGCAGCTCGTGGAGCACAAGGAGCTGGCGTCCAAGAAAGTCCCCATCCTCTTCTTTGCCAACAAGATGGACCTGCCCAACGCGCTCACACCCGTCGAGTGCATGCAGCTGCTGGAACTCGACAACCTTGGCAGCAAATCCTGGCACATTACGTACGTGACCGAAGTCATGCTCTTGAACGCCATACGCAAGGTAACCATTTTTGTATCTTGTTATGCACGCGCAGGGCAAGCAATGCGGTAACCGGGCGTGGAGTGGAAGAAGGCATCGAGTGGCTCGCAGACCAGTTCGCCAAGGGGAAGTCCCGGAAGTGAGTCAACGCACCAGCACAGAACAATATTTTCAGCCACAATGCTTCTGCTAGAGAGTAGCTAGAGCCTTTGACAACCCAATGTATTGCACTTCAACCCTGGTTCGTTCGTGTGCATCGAGTAAGGCAAAGCTAATAGATTAGGGTGACCTAGGAGAGTAAACTTGTAGAGCCTATAGTTGATCCGATCTAGGCAACAAATTGCCTACGCGTCTACATCGACTGCTCAGCCGGCGCAGGGGGCGCCCTCTGCTGCTCGTTGGACGTGGCATTGTTGGCCTTGGGCACGGGCAGGAAGAGCTTGAACTCGGGCGGCAGCTCCTCCTCCGAGTAGAGGCGGTCGGAGAAGTAGATGCGGCGGATGCGGCAGTTGGCGTGGATCTGCACGCGCAGCGTCTCGATGTAGTTGGTGCCGTAAGCGCGCCGCGTGAAGTCCGAGAGGTTGAACTGGATCTGGTTCCAGCCTTCGTCGAGCCGCATGGGCATGGTGCAGATGAAGGGCTTGACCCGCGTGGAGCTCTGGTAGTTGCTCGCGCGGAAGCGGCGGCGCACGTTCTTGTCGTCCAGCACCTGCACCTCGAAGGTGAAGTACTTCTTGAGGTTCTTGATGATCATGACGAGGAACGGCAGCTTGATGCCCAGCGTCTTGGCCGGTTGCGCCGGGCACGTGATGAAGTTGGTGCTGACGTTCGTGCCCATGATCTCCAGCACCGACGACTGGATGTCCTGGTCCGTGATGCGCTTGATGTGGCCATTGCGCACCTGCTTGTCCCAGATCTGCAGCGGCTTGCTCCTGCAGCCAGCGTAGACACAAGAAGAGCATTGAGTCAACTTCTTCCTCCATATACAGCGCTGACGCACATAGGAGGGAGAGGCAGACAGAGACTCACCCGATGCTGTAGAGGATGGAAAGGAAGCCCGACTGGAAGGTGTTCTTGAACATGGCGCGGAAGAGCTCGTCGGCGTGCCGCAGCACGTTGGGAATATGCAGCCTCGGAGCCTTGGAGCGCGACGCCGCGGACTCCTCGGACGGTTATCGTTTTGTGCGTCGCTTCAAGGTCGCACTGGTGTGGACCACAACATATACGGTACATTGTGGCGGGTTTATTTGAAACGGGCCGACCCGCCACATCGAACTGTTTGTGGCATGTAGTCTAAGCCACATTGTGGCACAACCACTGGTGGTCATCGCCATCCCATGGCGTCCGCGGTGCGCGTGCTGCTCTCGTCGGAGCACGCGCCGTCCCCGGTGGCTGCTGCAAGACCTCCCAAGCGAAGGCGCCTAAATGAAGCAGCAAGCAGGTTACTCCACGTGGCGAAAGCGCCGACTGGAAATGCCGCAGCGCCCGACACAGAGATGGCAAGCGACGACGACGACGAAAGCCCCGGTTGTGTGTGCGCCGAGTGCGGCGATGCCTTCTCGTGTGCAGCAGAGCTAGTGGCACACAGCCAGGAGACGCGGCACCGGCCCTTTGCCTGCCGCCGCGAGGGCTGCTCCAAGCGCTACTCGAAGCGCGAGCACCTGACGCGGCACTTCGAGGCGGTGCACGTCCGCGGCTCGACGCAGACGCTGGAGGAGCGTAAACCCTTCAAGTGCGAGCTGTGCGAGGCCAGGTTCACGTACAACCACGGGCTGACGCGCCACACCAAGCGCTCGCACCGCAACGTGAACCGCCCGTTCGAGTGTTCCGAGTGCCTGAAGGTCTTCAAGAAGAAGAGCGAGCTGCAAGCACACTCGTACGCACACACGGGCGTACTCCCCTTCGAGTGCAAGGACTGTGGCGAGAGGTTTCTCAAGAGGTTCTTGCTGAACCGGCACCAGCGGACACACGCAGCCAACAGGGAGGCGGACACGCAGATCCTCGTGTGCGAGTGCGGCGAGATCTGCTTCGACGAGGACGAGCTCAAGATTCACAAGGAGGCGGAGCACGGCAGTGAAAAGGAACCGAGTGCTGCAGACAGCGACGCGGCCGCCACAAAGCAGCCCTCTACGCCTTCATCTGCCCACGTGTGCCTCGTGTGTGACCAGACGTTCAGCCGGAAGCAGTATCTGCGCGCTCACCTGCGAACCCATTTCGAGTCGCTGGACGACCGCAAGAAGTACGTGTGCCCCATGGCTGGATGTGACAAGGCCTACACGCGGTCGTCCAACCTCATGGCGCACTACAATGCGGTGCACGACGAGCGTAAGTCGAAGCGCTTCGCGTGTCCGCGTGAGGGCTGCTCGGCGCGGTTCGGCTACAAGACGGTGCTGAAGCACCACCTCCAGAGCATTCACGACAAGCCCAAGACACCGAAGCGACGCGAGCGCAAGTCCGCGGGCATTCTTGAACGTGCGCTCGGAGTGAACCAAGTGGGCGAGCAAGTGACGCGGACCATTGTGTTTGAGGCCAAGACACCGGATGGTGAAGAAGAGAAGGAGGCGGCAGGACAGTCGTAGCGCGACAGGTACACTTTGTAGAGAATATATTTTATTGAGATACGATAGACACTGCTGTCTTGGATGCCAGGCGATGACAATGCTTCGTGTTCATTGCAGACTTTGCTATGGTGACGCAACAGTTCTTCCGATCACGCACTTGAAAGCTCTGTTGCACCTGTAGACGTAGTATAGTAGACGTCTCAAACCTGTGTCTGATCACCGTGAAAGGTCAACAACAAGCATACAGTACGTACTCTGGTCATCACCATCGAGCTGGTAGACGTGGAGGCGACGTTCAGCCTGCAAAACTGTAGCAGTCTGCAACGCTTGCAAGAACTTGCGGCTGATCGATATCAAAGTTAGGCATCGTGTGCGTACAACTTGCCAGCGGGTGTCAATGGACAAGTATAATAGGATGCAGCTGATACCGACGTTGACTGCATAAAGGCCAGGACATCGAAACCACGCACGCGAGGGTAGTTTTCACAAAGGCTTCTTTGCTTTAGCTCGCTCGCGAGGTGTTGATGGCAGCTCTGTCGCCACGCTCTAGCCTCTCTCGCATACTACAGTACTAACTTACAACTTGGGGCCGAACGAGGAGTAGTCGGTGACGCCGGGCGACACGTACTTCTTGAAGTTGTCCACGAACATGCCGGCGAGCTTCTTGGCGGTGGCGTCGTACGCGGCCTTGTCGCTCCAGGCCTCACGCGGGTTCAGCACGTTCTCGGGGATGTCGCCGAGCTTCTTGGGCACACTGAAGCCGAAGTTGGGGTCCTCCGAGAACTCCGAGTCCTTGATGGAGCCGTCCAGGATGGCGTCAATGCAAGCGCGCGTGTCCTTGATGCTCATGCGCTTGCCCACACCGTAGCCGCCGCTGGTCCAGCCCGTGTTGACAAGGTACACGGACGTGTTGTGCTTCTGCAGCTTCTTCTGCAGCAGGTCAGCGTACTTGGTGGGGTGCAGCGGCAGGAAGGCAGCGCCGAAGCAGGCGCTGAACGTGGCCGTGGGCTCCGTCACGCCACGCTCCGTGCCGGCAACCTTGGCGGTGTAGCCAGACAGGAAGTGGTACATGGCCTGACCGTCGCTCAGCTTGGACACGGGCGGCAGCACACCGTAGGCGTCGCACGTGAGGAACACGATGTTGGACGGGTGGCCGCCGCTCGAGGTGGGCTCGTGGTTCGGGATGTGGTAGATGGGGTACGACACACGGCCGTTCTCCGTCTTGGACGTGTTGTAGAAGTCGGGCTCCTTAGTCTCGGCGTCCACGAACGTGTTCTCGAGCAGAGCGTCGCGCTTGATGGCGTTGTAGATGTCCGGCTCGTTCTCCTGGCTCAGGTTGATGGTCTTGGCGTAGCAGCCGCCCTCGAAGTTGAAGATGCCCTCGTCGTCCCAGCCGTGCTCGTCGTCACCGATGAGGTAACGCTGCGGGTCGGCGGAAAGAGTGGTCTTGCCCGTACCGGACAGACCGAAGAAGAGGGCGGTGTCGCCGTTCTTGCCCTTGTTGGCCGAGCAATGCATGGCCATGATGCCGTCGAGCGGCAGCCAGTAGTTCATCATGGAGAAGATGCCCTTCTTCATCTCACCACCGTACCACGTGCCACCAATGACAGCCACGTCCTTCTCAATGTTGAAGGCCACAAAGACCTCCGAGTTGAGGCCGTGCTTCTTGTAGTCCTTGTTGGTGACCTTGCAGGCGTTGACGATGGTGAAGTCGGGCTCGAAGTTCTCGATCTCCTCCTTGGTCTGCGGGCGCAGGAACATGTTGGTCACGAAGTGGTGCTGCCACGCGAGCTCCGTGATGAAGCGCACTTTCTTGCGCGACGCCGGGTTGGCGCCGGCGTAGCCGTCGAAGACGTACACCTTCTCGGCCGAGCTGTAGTGCTTGGTGACCGTCTCGTACAGCTCATCGAACACCTCGGCGCTCACAGGCTGGTTGATGTCGCCCCACCAAATGTTCTGGCTGGACGGGGCCTGGTCCACGATGTACTTGTCCTTGGGCGAGCGGCCCGTGAACTTGCCCGTGTCGATCGTGTACGTGCCGTTCTTGACGAACTGGCCCTCGCCGTTCTTCTCCTCGTGGGCGGCGATCTCGTCGTAGCTCAGGTTGCGGTGCACCTTGGTGTTGGCGTTCGTCACGCCGAACTTCTCGATGCCGAGCGACGCGGCCGTCGCGTTGGCGAACGTGCGCAGCGCGAAGGGCTTCGCGAAGGCGGCGGGCGTGGACTGCGCCATCTTGATGGCTCCGAGGCGCTGCACGCGCAGGCTGGCACGCAGGGCAGACGTGAACATCTTGCTTGAGCTTCTCGAGGGGCTTCGGCGGGACGCGGCAAATTGAGATGTGAGCCGCTCAAAGATATAAGGGCGCGGCTCTCGGAGCATGCTGACGTTGGGCGCCGTCCGTTTGGGCCAATGGTGGCGCGGCGTGCAGAAAAACGCGCGATGCAGGCTGGCGATTGGTCAAACGGAGAACTTCAACCATCGTGGCCAGCAGAGACCGGCCACGCACGACGCGCGCCGGGCTGCTGGCCATCGGTGCGCCAAGTTCGGCGGCGCGAAACATCGGCGCGTCACGGGCCGGACGTGCTGCAATTGCAGTTCCGGCCGCGCAAAGCGCAGGATGGCGCGACAACTGGGGCGCGGCGCCGGCTTTCGGGGCCCTAGGCGAGCCGGCCGGGCTCACGGTGAGCATGCGGCGCCGGGCCAGCCGCTGGCCCGCTTGCTCGCCGCCCGCAAAGCGTGACAGCGCCACCGTCGACACGCCACTCTGGCGCGCGTCTATTGCAGCGCCGAGCGGATTTGAAAGCCTCCAGCTTCAGCCTCTGCTTCAGCTTTGATACATTTTGCCTTCTGAACTTCCGCTCCGTCACATGCGAAAGTGTCCGCACTGCAGTTTCCCCCGCAGACAAGCTCTCGACGGTCGACTCCTTCTGTCTGGGGGCTCCGAGGGCGAGTCAAGCATCGGCATCGCGTCTGCCCGCTTGTTAAAGGTGAACACGTGGAGGCATCCCGCCAAGCAGAAATGGCTGCAGACGCAAAGATACGCTCGCGAGCCGCGCTCCAAGCACCAGCCTCGTGACCAGGAGATTTTGCGCACCGAGTCTCTACGCTGCGCACGATCCCCTGCTGCCTCCAGGGCCTCATCAGATTGATTGTTCCGCTCGCGGGGAGCGCCACAAGAGCGTGCTGCGCGGCAGCGTGGTCACCACGTTCCATCCCGCCGTCGATCGCAGTATCCGACAAGCTGGTCTGCGCGGAGTGCTCGTTGTTCCAGCCTGGAACTTCCGACATCAAGCTTACACCTTCTAGTCTAGACAGGTCCATTGACGATCAGAATGGTGAAAGCCTGGACTGGAAGGCCGGAGTGGCGGGGTTGCAATAGCAACAAGGATCGTCATGAGGTGCGGCGCAAGTATGAAGGACCCCTGCTCGAAACTCTTGCAGCGATTGCCGAACGCGTCAACGGTGGAAAAGACGCTTGCAGGGCCATCGGACCGAACGGGCGGCTTTCGCGCTGTACCGGAACGTATTTCCGCGCAGTGTACTTCCTGTTGTCAAAGCAGTGCAGTACTTGCAGTGCATGAACTACGAATAACTCCTTGAGCGTGCTGCACTCGGAAGTATGATGTTTTGATACGGTAAATGTGGCGGCAAGCATGAGCTTTTCACCGCTTTCATTTGCGACTTTCGGTGCGGTCATGCCACTTCTGGCAAACCGGTTGCGCGCTGAATGCTCTGGTTGCATCTACTAGTAGCAACGTTTGCTACACAATATACTACAAGTAATTGGCATGTTGATTCGTGCTTGTGAGCGGGCTGGTTGCCCCGCTGGCGAGCAAACGAGCAAACTGCAGACGAAAGGCAACACGCACGTTGACAGTGGAGTTGAAGTTTACCGAACTGTACTGGTACATTACCAGTACTACTGAAATCACCGAAATGTGGTGTGTCGTACACACAAGATACTTTCGCGTCACATTTCTTGCCCGGCGGCGCTATTACTGTAGCCCTTCGCCGACGGCGCTAGACTCAGTGGCGGCCATGCTGCGCTTCCCGAGGGACCGCTTCCTCATTTGCCTTTGCGGTGTGTATTATGCAGCCTTCGCTTCTATCCGCTCACAAGTCCGCGGTCTCTACGGCGAGTACGTTCCCCTCTAGATACATTTCTTGCTCTTGCAGCACCAAGTATCTGCCGATTGGACGTCCCCCTCCCGAAGCAGCTTGCAATGCAGACTGTCTGACCGACTGATTTCCACCTCAAAAGACTCGGCAGCCGCAGCGCTCTAGCCGCCTCGACGCGGGGGTAGCCCGTGTATGAACTAACCGTCGATTGCTCACGTTTATGTCGTGTGTCTTTGTCGTGGCTCCGTTCATAAATCAGAGATGGCATCGAGCCCGTGGACGTCTTCCTCCGCGGCGTAAAGCACCAGTATGCAGGATCGCGCGACGCTTCGACACTCAAGTGGATCTTCAACAGATTCCCGACGCTTGTGTGGCTACATGAGCCGCTGCAGTGGAGCCCGAGCTTCTGCATGGAGGTGATTTGCCTGGTGGGCGTCACCGTGTCGGTGCTGGGCGTTCTACGGCCGGCGTGGCGCACTGCTGGACCGCTGGCGCTGCTGTGGTTCTGCTACTTGTCCATCGTGCAGTGCGGCCAGACCTTCATGCAATTTCAATGGGACTCGTTTCTGCTGGAGGTCGGCGTTCTGGCGGTGCTGCTAGCCCCGTGGTGGCAGCCGCACAACAAGACGGACAATATGTTCGAAACACCGGCGGCTGCGGTTTGGACGCTGCGCTTCCTGTTCTTCAAGTTCATGATCATGTCCGGCGCTGTCAAGATCCAGTCTCGCTGCCCTACATGGCTTGGGCTCACTGCGCTGGACTTCCATTTCGCGTCACAGCCTCTACCTCTACCTCTCGCTTGGTATGCACTGCAGGCTCCGGTAAGTTTATCATTAGCAGAGTAACCATTTTTTGATGGGGTCGTGGTATCTGACGACCTTTTGTACGTTAATGTAGCCGATTATCAACCGCCTTGCTGTAGCAGTAACACTGCTGATTGAAGGCCCCTGGACATTCTTCTTGCTCGCGCCTCATACCGCGTTGCGGAGGGTCGGTGCCATTCAGCAAATCGCGCTGCAGATTTCCATTATCCTGACGGGGAATTACAACTTCTTCAATCTCTTGACCATGGTTCTGGCGGGGGCTCTACTTGACATCGACAGCCACACCGCCAAGGACAAATATCGCTACGCAAAGTCAACGACAACCACGCACAAGTCATGGATTACTCGAGTGGAGTGGGCATGGTACACATTTCAGACGCACCCGGCCGTCACGAAAGCAGCTTTATTGGGCAGTCTCGGATTTTGCGTCTACACATGGCTGGAGGTCTTCGCAATGACGACTCAGGATGATCCGTTCAAGGAGCAGCATGGCTTCATGGAGCTACTGCTAGCTACAAGGATCCGATTGCTACCATCTGTGGAGGATACCCAGACATGGCTAGCGCTGATTTTGCCGCGTTGTGTGCTGCTCGCCGCTACCCTCGTCGTATGCTCAAGCTGCTGGCAACTTGTTCGCTCCACATCCCGACGGGACCGCAGCTTTAATGGCTCCAGGAAAAGGCTTGCTCTGCGATCCATGTACTTGCTGACGACGACGATGGCAAGCTTATGGGTCTTCACGAGCAGTGCGGCCACTCTGGCGGTGTTGGATCAGTCCTACCAGCACTCACTGCCGTCTTTTGCTGTCTCGGTGTACCGCTCGACGGAAAAGTACCGCATCACCAGCGCCTACGGGCTATTTCGCACCATGACGGGCGTGGGCACGGTTCAACTCGAGAATGGACAACGTTTCTCGGTGGTTGCTCGACCGGAGATCATATTGGAAGGCACGAAAGACGGCGGGCTGACATGGGAAGAATATCACTTCAAGTACAAGCCGTGCGACGTGAATGCCGCGCCGCGCTTGGTAGCTCCTTTCCACCCGCGACTGGATTGGCAGATGTGGTTCGCCGCACTGGGCGACTACCAAAGCGCACCGTGGCTTGTGCATCTCGTGACCAAACTCTTGGAAGGCTCCCCAGGCGTGAAGGAGCTGCTCGACTCGACTCGCGACCCGTTTCCGGACGCCCCACCGGACGCCATTCGAGCGCAGCTCTACTACTACGACTTCACGCGCCTGAACACGTCGTGGAACCAAGCTCTCCCGACGTCCAGGATCCTGGACAACAGCAGCGACCCACAGTGGTGGACGAGGACCTATGTGAGGGAGTACTTGCCAGCGCTGGAGCGTGGGAACCCGTCGCTCGCAGCGTTTGTGCAGCAGCACTGGCCGCAGGAGCCCACCCCAGTTCCCAAGCTTTCGCCGACGGTCTCAGCTACGCGTCAGTGGATCGACCAGGTGCTGCAGTGGCTGTGCAGATCCCCGTGGTCGCCCGTGGGTCTCGCGGCCGGCATCATGATTGCCCTGTCCGGTGTTGCAACACTGTTCCGCTGCAGCAGTGAAACAGCCAAGTTGAAGCTCGATTAATGCGCCGCGGTGATTGGACGAGATCTGGATCGCAATTGTAACCAATGGAGACGGGATCGGGCGATGATTGGGGGATATTACGGCGGACCTCGGGGAGGGATGACCCACCCGACACCGCGGCCAGTGCCACCTGTTCCCCCGACCGCAATGGGGCTCCGTCAGGCGCCAAGGGCCCGCAAGCATGGTCGTCGATGAGTCAGCGCGGGGCTCGTTTATCGCACTTGGCCTAGTCGATCTGCCGCCCGCGAGTTACCCGCTGCATCGGGACGCCGGCAGCGATCTTCATTCAGGCTCTCTTGCCCCCAGTATGGTCGCTCCGGGTCAAAGAAACGGCACCGACGGGGAGCGGAAGATGTCGCCCTTCCTGGCGCGGCCCTTGGACCCCGAGGTTTTTATGCGGAAAAACCTCGAGCGCCCTGCGACCAATCTCTCGGCGGACGCGTGGGCGCTCGGCCGCCGGCGCTCTTCGCGTGTCATTTCTGCGGAAGAAACGGAGACAAGAGGTGAGCGAGCGAGCGTGGCGAGATGATGGGGATGTGGGGGCGGCAGCTGTAGACCAGGACGCCCTGCGTTGGCGGATGCTGTGGATCGGTTGCTGCTGCCGCCTCTGGTGCTGGACTGAGCTATGTTGGACGAGGCGACTGACGCGACGGCGTATCTTTTTCCTTTTTGTTGTGTTCCGTTTGGATCCCGCAGTGAAGAATGGAGGCTGCTGACCAGCGCAAGTGCCACAACTGCGGCCAGACCGGCCACCTGCGTCGCGACTGCCCCGAGGCCCCGTCCCAGGAGGGATTCAGCGGCTACGGCGGCCCGTGCTTCGGCTGCGGCAAGGTCGGCCACCTGAAGCGCGACTGCCCCACGAGCACCGGCGGCCGCGCCTGCCACAACTGCGGCCAGGTGGGCCACATCCGCCGCGACTGCCCCGAGGACGTGCAGCCCCCCAAGTGCCACAACTGCGGTGAGACCGGCCACCTGCGCCGCGACTGCCCCCAGGAGCTGCGCGAGTCGCGCAAGTGCCACCACTGCGGCCAGAGCGGCCACCTGCGTCGCGACTGCCCCGATGACAACGGCCCGAGCGAGGACAAGTGCTACCAGTGCGGCGAGACCGGCCACTGGGCCCGCAACTGCCCCGGCGCCAAGGCCTAAGCACCCGACGCCGTGAAGGATCCAACTGCGAGAGAGGAGGGAGGGAGCGAGCGAGAAAGGAGAGGGTATAGATGTGTCACGACGCGCGGAACTGCCCGCTTTGTACTAGTATTTCCCCGATGAGATCTTCGGCCTTTCGTGGTAGCGAGACACGTAGTGAAGGTGCGAGAGAGAGAAGGAGCCTCCTGCGCGCGGGACCTCGTCGAGTCTCCAGCCAACTGGAGTCCCGGCGTGGACCGCGGCAGTGCTCGGATTTCTTATTAACTAAACTATCTTGTCCAACACAAACACCATTTGCACGTGTCTTCCACTGATCCACGAGTCCCCCACGAAGGGCTTCAAGCTGACCCGCGATCTTTCTGCAGCAGATTATTGAGCTTGTTGATGTCGGCGGGATTGTGATCTCAACGTGACTACGGGGATCGGTGTGAATGACCATGAAGTTCCCGAAAAACCTGTTGCCTCTGCACATTGCAGAACTTCTGCGATGTCAGAAGTGAGCAGGGGGCAGCGCTGTTTGTCCTTGCATTGCCGGCCGCGAGTGAGCTAACTGAGTAGCTGGACTGCTGTCGTCTAGCTACTTGTTGATCATTTCTTTTTTTTCAAGTTGTAGTTCGAGTTGCCAGCAATACTCGCCTCGGAACATATCAATGCGCGTTTTCAGAGCTTGGCGGTACTCGAGAGACTCGCTCACCCTCTTCGCTGCATGTAAGATTCCAGCCATGCAGAACACCGCTACAACCAGCGCAACAACAGAGATACCGACGAAGCTACATGTAGCCCAGCCCAGTGTAGCCACCGGGGCATTCCCATCCGGCACAGTAGTTTGCGGCCATGAACGGAGCCAAAAGACCCTATCAAGCAAGCTGATGAACGCGGGTATATAACCAAATACATCTCGAGACCCTCGAGCGTGCGTGCTGTGCTGCCTCTCCTGCTTCCTGTTTCTTGCTTACTGTTTTCTTCTCGTTTCCTCTCCTCCTTCGCGTAATTCATGTCTCCCCAGAGCGCCAAGAACAGTAGGTCACTTGATGCGGTCGCGAGCGAGGACGCTCCAGACTCTGGCGCTCGTCCTTGGTATTAATATTAATACTGGTCGAGAACCTGAGTCTGCAGGCGTTTGTCCAGGTCTCGCGGCGCTTCCTGAGCCCTGTCGAGGCCGCTCTTCACTCGTCACCGGTGGCGCAGTTCTGTTATTGCTTCGCATTAAACGCCGCCGCCCTCGCCGCCAGTTTCCGGTCACGCTCGTCCATCATACGGTCCCAGTCCGTCAGCAGCTCCAGCTTGCTCTGAACGTCGCAAAAGAAATAATAAAAAAATGTTAGAATCACGCGGGGGACAAAAGCGCGCCGCGGTGAAGAGCGCACCTGCATGTTGTTGCGGGCCTGCCACTTGTTGACGGCGCCGAAGCCCACGCCCATGAGCGAGAAGGCGACGGAGATGACCACGAGGCCGGGCAGCACTTGGTACGGCATCTTAGTCTCCGCTTTCCCGAGGCAATGAGCGGCCCTCCACCGCCGAAATCTTCGCGCAACATTCAGCAACATTCAGCTCTTGGAACGACATTGGAGCAACCATCAACGATTTGCCTACCTTCTTGCGCCACTTCAACTTGTTGTTGCCTTCAAGGAGCATATATTTCCTACGGCTATGAATCCTGGCAGGGTAGGAGCCACGCTTGCGGCCACTAATAGCACTCATTAACTTGTGAACTGGGCGCGTGGGGTCATCTGCAGCGGCAGACCACCGTCCATGAAGAGCGCCATTTTCAGCACGTAGCCTCGCTCCTGCTTCTCGCCAGGTGCAATGGCAACATGAAACCGGCTGAGCGTGGTGGCGAGGAAGAACTTGGTCTCCAGTATGGCCATATTCATCCCCGGGCAAATGCGTGGCCCCGCTTGGAAGACCGGAAACTCGTACGCGCTCGGGCGCTTGGACATCTCCAGCCAGCGTTCAGGGCGGAACTCCAGCGGATTGTCACCCCACAGCGCGCTGTTGCGACCCATGTACCACGGACAGTAGACGACGTCGACACCTGCAGGCACGAAGGTGCCGTCGGGCAGGTAATCGTCCTTCACGGCGCTCTTGACGTTGTACGGCACTGCTGGGTACAGCCGCAACGCCTCGTACACGACGGCGTCGAGATATTTCATGCTGTTCACTTCGTCAAACGTGAAAGCTGTCACCTTCAATCCGCCACTAGTTTTGATCGACTCGAGCTCCTCCACAATTCGTTGTTGGACTTGCGGATGCTTCGCGATCGCGTAGAAGCTGTAAGTGATGCACTCCGCTATGGTGTCTCGGCCACCAAAGACGAACGTCAAGATGATGGAGCGAAGCGTGTTGGGCCCCAGCAACGCAGCGGCGTCCGCACCTTGCTCCTTGGTGCCTTCAGCAGCTAGCTCTCGAGCCTTGCGGATGAACAACGACAGTAGATCCGACCGCGCGCTGATTTTCTCCCCAGGTTCTTTCAGACGTCGAAGCAAAATATTGTCAGCGACCGCTCGAATACCACGCGTGCATCGTCGTAGCTCGCGCTCACTGGGCATGACCCACGACAACATCTTGTAGTACTGCTTGACAAAGAGCCTCTGTGCGCAGTGCTCATTGACAAAGTTGATTTGCTCTGCGAACTCGTCAGCTCCCTCGATCTCGCTCAGAGGCAGGCCGAAGGCGACGTCGAAGATGGAGTTGAACGTGTATCTCGCACTAACAGCCTGCATATCGCAGCAAAAGCTCTCGTTGCTACTTTGGCTGTCTCTCACCTTGACCGCCTCGGCTTGTGCATTCACCATCGTTTCTTCGGCGTGTCTGGCAAAGATTTTCTCCGTATAGATGCGGAAGTTGGCTGTCGTGAACACTTTAAGCGTCACTTTGCGTTGCAGACGCCAACCAGCTCCGCCGTCCGGTGCCTCGGCGTTGTGGTTCAAAATGAAGAGCGAGTTGTCGAAGGCCTCTTGAAAGGCGTCCAGAAATCCCTGCGGCTTCACGTAGTTGTTGAAATTCGTCGACAGGATGTGCTGGACGTCCTTTGGGTCTGTGATCTGTACATTCAAGACGACAACACTGATGAATGAGTATATCTCTGCATCATTTACCTTACCACCAGCAACAATCTTCTTACGTAGATGGCTCCATCGAAGAAAAGATGCCACGGCATCTTCATGCGCCCGCCGTACTGCTTCAGCAGATCCTCCTGGTTGACGAGGGGGAAGATAAATGACATGTCAGCCTTCAGTGTTTGGATCAAGTGAAGGCGAGCGCTCAATTCCTCACCAAGAACTCGTAGATGCGGTTGTGGTTCTTGATGAACGCTGGCATGTTACCCAGTAGCCACACTCCGGGAGAACCGCTCAGAGGCTCCAGCCCGCGAGCGATACGCACTTTGCGGTGAAACATCGTGCCGATCTTGGCCAGCAGACTCGCGACGGCGGCGGTGAGCAGGATCTTCGCCACGGCACTAGCTGCGGGAGGCTCGAGCGAGCTCCATGGGCTCAAAGGAAGGGGCGGTAACTGCATGTTGCCGGCGCTCACCGCTCGAAGGTTTCAGGAGAAGATCGGAAGTGGAGGGTTGGAGTTCTCGCAACGGTCTCGTATCCGGGTTGTGAAATAAGTTGACCCGCGAGTCTCTTAGTCTGTGGATGCAGGATCAACATGGTAATGTGGCGCACGCTTCATGGTTGATCAAGCAAGTTACGGCTCACCTTTGGTGAACGTACTCATCCGATTCGAGGGGATTTTACCAGCAGCCCCGATCTAAGCAGAAAATGACCGCGTTGGTGACGCTGCTCGACAGCTCAGCAACGTTGTGCCGTCGCGCCTCCCTGTCCGAATTTTGCGAGCAAATGTTCGCGCGTGGGGTGTGGGTCCTGCCTCCGTCAGCGCGTTGGTATATGGTATGAACTCTGCCACGCGGAAGTTTATCAAGGACGTCATCGTGCACGACACCCAGATCCTGGAGCTCATTACCGGCTTCATGGGATCAAAAGTGTGACTTTCAGAAGCTGGAGATGGTCATGGAAACTGTCTTCAGACGTGTCATTTGCCCCAGCGCTGGAGAATACCTTGCTGACGGCACTTGCAGTTTCTGAGCTGGAGAATAAATCTCCGTAAGTTGCGCAGGCAGCGCCAGTGTCTCCAATTGCGTCAGCTCCCTCAGTCTCGAGACGTTTCTTAGCCTTGCACCACTCTGATCCAGCCTTGTCATGGAGGTCGGCCACGGTCTCGCAAGGTCCACGACAGGTTTCTCGGCTTCATCTCATTCGTGTTCAATAAAGCATGGCGTATACCGACTCGAACGGATGTAAGATAGATTTCATCCGCAAAACTTATGACCTTGGCGAGCTCGTTGTTCGTATTGACCAAGATACCGATGACAAGCCTGCGCTAGACCTTGGACCGTGTAGTGGATGCTCAGCTCAAGAACTTGTATACCCTTGATATCGCGGCAATCAGACACGGACTCACAGTTCTAGGTTTTCCCAGAATACTACATGTAGTGGTTTACAGCGTAGCTTTGAAAGTTGTGCGCTTGACCTGCGTAGACCTGGAGATGAAATCTCACGTCCTTCACCAGGCTGCGCTCGTTGTTGGAGGCATTGGAGGAGCTAACGATCTCTCAACGCGGGAACCTGAAGTGGTTTAGCATTATATCTCCAGGCAATGAAGCAATACACGGGAATATGAAGCGCTTGAAGTCTCGAGATGCAGAAATCGACGACATCGAGTTTTTGCGAATCTCAAAGAGCTGCCAATTGACCAATTCTCTGCTACGATGGATTGGAGTCCCTAGAATTGCTCCCACTACGTACTGAAGGTGCTAGATCAAGGCAAAGAGATCAATTTCGACGAGGATTGCGCTTCACAGTGAGAAACCTCGGCGAAGCTTCCAAGCTTGACAACACTTAAGCGTCCACCTTATATTGCATGCGCTTCCCCGCTCCAGCACCTGAAAACCCTGGAGGCTTTCAGTCGATCCGGGAAATCCCTGGACCCAGCGCTCTGGACAAACCCGGAGACCGTACAATGGACCGGCTGATGCTCTTCAGACCTCCTCCGTACCCGTTCCCGAGGACATTGCTGCACCTCGAGCTTCGGCTTGGAGACGAAGACGTGGAGTACGCGTACATCGCGGCAATGACCCAACTCCGGACGTTGTGCATCTACGACTCGAGCAATTTAATCCCCGTTCTGAAGAAGTCGCTGGCCACCGACGTCGCTCCGCTGCTGTCACTCACAGAACTGGGGTACGTCGATCTGCGTGACACTAGAGCGGCCAACGCCGACCTGCGCCTGTAAGACACCCACTTCAACTTGAAGTCGGGTTCTGCCAAGTCAATCCAAATCGCAATTAAGCGAGAACAACGGTGCAATCATTGACAATCACTCGCATACTTTAACCCCCTCAAGCATCCTCCGGTACGTGTGACACGCCACATTACGGGGTTGCATCGTCGTCACTTTATCAGAAGCTCGGCGTAAGCAAGAAGCGTGTCATTCCCCACCTCGCCGTGCACGCCCCAGAGCCTCTATACCCTCCCCATAGTGCCTGTCATCTTCCCCCTCGCCTCCTGTCTCCAACCACGTGCTTATTTCCCTCTAACTCCCCGTACAAGCGCCGATAATGTCCTCGAACCCGAGCGCCCGCCTGAACGGCATCTTCCAGGACGCCTCGGCCTCTGGCGGCGGCAACGACGCGCTGCGCTACACGGCGCCCCGGGAGCCCTCGCACAAGCAGCAGCAACAGCAGCAGGCGGCGGCGGCCCCTGCGGCCTCCGCGCCCGCCTCCTCCGTCGTGTTCTCCACCATGGTCTCTCTGTATCAATACGACGCCTCGGCCCGCAAGTACGTGCAGCTCGGGGGCGCCACAGCAGGCAGCAAGGTCGCCGTGGGCTGCGTCATCGTGGGCGCCGAGACGTCCTACAACCTGCTCTTCTACAACGCCGCCAAGCAGCATTTGTGTGCTGTGCCCGTCAAGTTCGGGACCTTTAAACCCACGCTGCAGGCCAAGAGTTACGTCAACTTTTACGACGAACAAGGAGTTAATTGGTCGGTTAAATTCCCCAGCGACGCGCAGGTGGCCGAGTTCATGCGCCAAGTGTTTCTGGCCAAGATCCACGTGGAGATCTGGGGCAGCGAGAAGACCGTGACCAAGACCAACCCGAGCGCGCTGATCCAGGACGACCTGGTGTTTGTCAAGCCCGAGACGCCGCAGGTGAACAACGGCGACACAGTGGCGGTCGCGTTTAGCGCCTGGAGAGTTGTGGGCAACGCCAACTCGGCGCCCGCGGATGTCGTGACCAAGTACGCGCCCTTCGAGAAGGCAGGCGAGGGTGATCTGCGCAAGATCCGACTTGGAGACAGCAGTGAGCGCATCAAGGCGCTGGAGGAGGGCATTGTGGGCATGAGGAAGGGCGGAAAGCGCATTGTGCTGGCTCCTCCTGGAAAGACCAACGGACAGGATTGGTACCTGCTGGAGATCGAGCTGCTGAAGACCAAGACTGGACACGGCGCGACGCAGCGGAAGTCGGTGCCGGCTGTGAACACATCGGCGGCAATAGAGGAAGCACCCAAGGCTTCGTCGGAGAAGAAGGCGTCGCGACGGCGTTCGACCCCTACATCGGCAAGCTCGAATGCTACGGCGGCAGCACCGTCGCGTTCCAACAGCACGCGCAACCTCAATGATAGAAATGATGCTGCTAGGAACGGAGACCTCGTGCCGTACGAAGAAGAGTTGAACAGCGCCGCGGCGAAGAACGAAATGGAGCTCAAGGAGCTGCGCTTGCTGCAGCGTGAACAGCAGCTGGAGCTCCAGGCGCGTGCTCTTGAGCGCGAGCGGATGAGTGTTACTGGAGGTGGTGGTGGCTTTGGATCCATGGGCTTTGGTCTGGGAGGCGGATTCAACAGCAGCTTCCCCAGCTCGTCGGCGCTGTTCAACAACAGCGCGCTTAGTGGAGGTCGCCCTGTTGACGCAATGCTGTCGGAGCTGAACGCCAAGGTGGACTATTTGATTCGCATGACACCGGGAACGTCATCCAGTTCTGGGTCTGGAGTTGGTGCTGGCCCGAGTGACGTTGCTGCGGTGATCCGCGGTGTGGAGAGGCTTGCTAGCGAGAACGACAGGCTTTTGACGCAGATTAACTCGCAGCATCAGCAGCAGTCGTCGTACGAGAAGCGTTGCGAGGAGCTCTTGGAACAGAATCAGCGACTGCAAGACGAGAAGCGCACGCTGCAGGAGCGGTACCAGTCGGCCGCCAGCTCTCAGCTGAATGTTACGTCTGAGTTGAGTGCGCTCGCCAGCGCACGCGATGCGGCAGTCACGCAGACGAACCGTTTGCACGCGGAGTATCAGCAACTCCTGACAGCGTACTACCAGTTGCAGCAACAACAAGGCGCAAGCAATGAGGCTGAGGAGCACAAGCAGGCGCTCAATTTTGAACGTGAAGCCCGTGCTCGCACTGAAAAGCAACTTGCCAAGGAAACCCAGGCTCGCTCTCTGGCGGAGCAGGAGCTGGCGCTCACGAAGAAGCAGCACGATGTGGCTCTGCAAGTCAAGACCTCGGAGCTGTCTACAGCGACAGCTCAATTGGAGCAGCAGGTGCGCTCACTTCAAACGCAGCTCCAGAAGGTCAATGATGATAGAGTGCGACTACAAGCCCACGCGGAAGAGCACGCGCAGCGACTAGCAGCTCTAAGTGAGAGCAAGGAGCGGGATGCGAAGCAGCAGCTGGAGAGGGCTGCACAGCAAGTTGCTCAGTTGCAGCAGGAAAACCAGGACTTGACTGGCAAGCTGGACGTGTCCTCGGCATGCGTTCACGAGCTAGAAGCGGAGCTGGAGTTGAAGGCAGCGATCCCGGAGACGAACGCTGAGGCGGGTAGTGCATTGGCTGCTGAAGAGAAACGGATTTTTGTCGAGCAGATCGAGCTGCTGCAGCAACAGATCAAAGATCTGGAGCAGGAGAAGTTTGAGCAAGTGCAGCAGGCGCTGGCGTCTGGCCGTCTATCGTCGCCCGGTGCTAGTCCGCGGGGGCAGAAGGCGGGCTTCGGAGGTGAGTGTGAGAACTGCGCGGCGGTCAAGGACCGCGAGCAGGCAGCGGAGCGTGCTCTGGCCGCCGCAGAGGCTATCAAGCGGGAAGCGCAGGACATGCTGGCCGTTGCAGCACACACTGGAGGAGGCACGGATGAGCGCGAGAGGCTCGTGGCCCTGTTCAAGGAGTCCGTGAACGAAATGTTCTTCCGCTTCCAGGACTTGTTCGAGGAGGAGACCGCCGTGGATGGCAAGCAGGTGCTCACGGCCATTCGGAAGGTCCTCAAGTCCAGTACGAAGAGTATCATTCAGCAGCTGCAGGAGCCCGCGCCGCAGCAGGACACTGAGACTGAAGCCGAGAGCGACGGAAACGTGAGTGATGGACCCCCTGCACCCCCACCGCAAGAGACCCCGGTCGTTCAAGCTGCCGCAGCGGTGGCGGCGGTTGCCGAGACTGTTGCTGCTGTTGAAGCAGCGGTAGCTCCTGTGGAGGGCGAGCTGCATGACGGCCGTAATTCTGAAGAGAAGTCCACGCCCGTTGAGGAGGTTGCTGCCCCTGCCGACGAAGAGGAGAAGCTGAATGCATCCGCCGCGGAGGCAAAGGTGGAGGTAGAGACAGAAGCCGCCTCTCCCAGTGCCACACCAGTGAAAGCAGCGCAAGCTCCAGCTTCGGTCGTCACCGCCCCCGTCCTCCATGTAGCCCAGTATCCGTCCAGTGACGAGAGTGACAGCGATTCCGACTTCCAAGAGTAGACGCAAGCAAGGCGCACGGGGGCAGCAGGACGATCGAAGGCTTGTCGCCACCACCAAATAAACCACTCGCAGCCTTCCTGCACACATGTCACGAGAACATTTTTGCTGTTGGACGGATGCAACTAACGCGTTTAAGAAAAATATGAACTTCCATTTGAACAAACGCTGCCCAGCACTCTCCAAACAATGCACACGCCCAGCACATGGACGCGAGGTGAAGTGCTGAGCGAATTGCCAATCACCCATTATTGTGATTGGCCGTCAAAGTTCATTTTCCACTTTCACAAGCGCGACGATGCCTGCTGGAAGCTCCACCACCAAGAAGACGCCCGTGCGCATGGGCAAGGTCTTCTCGCAGATGCTGACGGACTGTCCACTTGATGTACGTACAGTGTCTATTACATGCAATTGTCGTGTCTGCATTGGCCATCCATCCATCTATCAAGATACACTATCTCTCTTCCTTGCGTCATTGTTCTAACGTAATTTTGATGCCGCCAGATCCAAGTGTACGGCAAGTGCGTGGCCAACATCCACGGGGGCGTGAGTCGCCAGGCGTGCGAGAAGGAGTTCCAGAAGCTGCGCGCCTGCTTCGAGCGTGTGGCGCACAAGCGCCGCGCATAGAGACAAGAGAGACAAGTTGTCCTCCGCGCAGCAACAGCCTCTCAGCTCAGTTCGCTCATTTTGGCCAAATTTCAGCTCTAGTTTTCGTCAAACTTCACTTTGTCGCCCAATCAAATCGTGTCGCTCCGCTGTGCTCGGGCCGAGCTTTGCGTCATTCAGGAATTTTGCGCGCACTACACGCGGGGCGATGGAGGCGGCGGCGGAGGTGGCGCTCTGCGCCTTCCAGGCGGATCCAGAGCCTCGCGATAGGCGCGTTGAATCCGCCGAGGACTCTTCTATCAGCAGTGCAAGTGGCAGCGACGGAGACGCAGCGGAGCGCGAGGAATTCGACGATAGCGACGACAACTTCGGCGCCGACGCCTTGCCCCGGGATCGCGAGAGTCTGGAGCACGAGCTAGCGCGTCTGGACGACATGGAGTGCCGTCTACAGGCCGAGACAGCGACGGACTTGGTGCTGGGCTGCAAGCTGCTGCGGGCTGCGCGCCGGCAGCGCGTGGCCAGGGCCCACGCGGCTCTGGAGCGGCGGCAGTCGGCGGCGCGCCGAGTGCTCGAGTACGCCGGAGAGAAGGCGCGCGAGACGTACGCGAGCCGCTGCGCCGAGCTCAAGAGGGAGATGAACGCCGACATCGAGCGCGAGCTGCGCCGGCTGCAGACGGCCAAGGACGGCGTGAGCGTGACCAGTCGCCGGCGCCGAGCCGTGAGGGACGAGACGCCGCCGTCCAAGAGCTCGGGCAACGGCATGAGGAGGCGGCGCACGATGTACACCAGCGACGGAGACGAGGATGGACCTGAAGACGTCTTCTTGGCCTCGGCCTCGCCCCAGGAGAGGGCGCACAGGGTGCAGTTCCAGGAGAAGAAGCGGCTCGAGCGGCTCTTGGGGCGCGCGTCGGTCTTCAAGCCCGTCGTGAAGCAGGTGACGCCCCAAGAGATCGCAGAGGACCTGGAAGCCATTCGAAGCGCCGTCCCGTGTGATACAGAGCAGTTGGAGACGCCTGTGAGCAAACCTGGTAAGAAACACAAGACCAAAACGACACAGCGTCAGCCGAAGAAGAAGAAACAGCAGAAGAAGACGGAGAAGAAGAAGGAGGAGAAACCGAAGCGGCGGAGACCAACGATCATTACTCCCAGGAGGATACCACACGCATTGGGACCGAACTTACCTGCGTCTTTAGCAGCAGCTCAGGCGATAGCGAAGGCAGCAGCGAAGAACCGACGGCCCAGACTGCACTACAACCCGCGCATGCTGCAGGAGGGACAGGAAGTCGAGGTGTACAAGCGGCAGCGGACAGACGCGGCGACTGGCGACGAAGACGGAAGCCAGGACGAGTGCGTCATGTCCGGCATTATCACTGCAGCGACGGCGACGCAGGTGTACGTGCTCACAGCCACCGGTCGCTTCGAGTCCTTCGACGTCCGCGACTGCGTGGCCGGCTCGCTCTATGTGCAGGCAGCAGAAGGCAACGGCAGCCCGACACATAGCGTCAGACACCCCAGTAGCAATAGATAATCAAACAAATGAACGCTACATGTAGCTACCCCCACCTGTACGGCGACAACAGCGGCAAATCAGCTACACAGCATCATACGTTGAGACGTCTAGTCTATTGGCGCAGGGCACTTGCTCGACTTCTCTGTAATGGTCTGTCTTGCTATTGGGCTTTGGCTCTTACTCAGGACGGCGGATGACCTCTTGGCCACCCATGTACGGCCTGAGCACCTCGGGGATCACGATGGAGCCGTCTTCCTGCTGGTAGGTTTCCCACAGGCTGATAAGCAGACGCGGGACAGCACAAGCAGTGCCGTTGAGTGTATGCACGAAGGAAGTTCCAGCCTCCTCGTCCTTCGGGTCCTTGTGGCGGATGTTGAGGCGGCGAGCCTGGTAGTCAGTGCACATGGACATGCTTGAGACCTCGCCGTACTCCTCGCGTCCAGGCATCCAGGCCAGCAGGTCAAATTTGCGGTAGGCCGGAGCGCCGAGGTCGCCAGTGGCCATGTCCATGAGCTCGTAGTGCAGCCCCAGCTCGGCGTACATGCTCGTCTGGATCTCTACCATCTCGTCGAAGAACTCCTGCGCCTGCGTCTCGTTGGCGCAGAAGGCGAACATCTCGACCTTGCTGAACTGGTGAATGCGGTAGATGCCGCGCGTCAGGCGGCCGCCATGCCCGATCTCGGTGCGGAAGCAGTGGCTGAAGCCAGCGTACTTGAGCGGCAGCGTGGGCGTCGGCAGGATCTCGTTGCTCTTCATAGCAGCCAACGTGATCTCCGACGTGGCGGTCAGACACAGGTCCGAGTTGGCGATCGAGTAGATCTGCGTGGCCTCTCCACGCGGCTGGAAGCCGCACCCCTCCACGAGCTTGTAGTGCGCCACGTCGGGCGGGAACATGACCTTGAATCCGCGCGCGCGCAGCTTGCTCAGCGTCCAGTGCACCAGCGCGATCTCCATCATGGCGCCTTCGTTGCACAGGTACGTGAACTTGGAGCCCGCGACTCTGGCGGCCGTCTGGGTGTCCAGCAGCTCCAACTCCGTGGCCAAGTCGTAGTGGTCCTTGGGCTTGAAGCCGAACTCGGGCTTCTCTCCATGCGTGAGCACCACGCGCGAGTCCTCCTCGGCGCCCACGGGCACGTCCGGGTGCGTGTCATTGGGTATCTTCAGGGCTTCGAGCTCCAGCTGCGTCGACACCTGCGCCAGCTCGCCCTCCAGCTCCGCGATCTCGCGCTTGAGCTCCTGGCCGCGGACGCGCAGCGCCTCAAAGGCCTCCTGGGCCTCCGCGCCCTGCTTCTTCCTGGCCGCAGCCGCCTGGCCGAGCTGCTTGGCGTGCGCGTTGCGCTCCGCGCGCAGGAGGTTGGCGCTGTGGCGCAGCTTGGCCTGGCGCTGGTACAGGTCGGCCACGAGCTGCGGGTCGCCCTCGCTGAAGCGCTTGCGGCCGTTCTCGACGGCGGCGTCCACGTTCTCCACCAGCTTCTTGTAGTCCAGGCGAGCCTTGACGTGGCCGTGCAGGTTCGACGAGACCTCGGCGTCGTCCGGGCGCAGCGCGGCGGTGGTGGCGATGGAGCCGGAGGCGGACGAGGAGAAGAACGAGACGGGAGCCGCGCGCCTCGCCGCCATCGACGCACGCGAGCGGCACGCGCGCATCAACGCGCAGCGGGTCGGCAGCATCTTTGCTGGTCGGTGATAGGTACGTGAATCGCGAGCGGCTCAGAATTGCCAAAAGGTCCACGACCAGTTTTTAGCGCAATTTTCACCATTATATCTCGGAGTCCGATTTATATAAAATGGAGCTCCTACATGATCGGTAAGTCAAATTTAGCTATATCTGACCTGAGTTAGGGGCATATGGCTGAGAGGGGAACCATTCCAAGTTGACCATACCTCCCCACCTCTCATGACGCATCAGAACAAGAAGACATTGGAGACAATACTACACTGTATATAGCCACTACATGGCACTGAATCCGTGTGTGATCATCTCGATTTGAGAGGGCGCCAGACTTGTTTTGACGGCGGTCCCTTTTGCCACCGAAAGCGGTATTTCTGCCCCTATTTCGCAACTCGGAGCCCCCAGCCGCAAAATCGGGTAATAATATCATTATGTAGCAAACTATTAATAAATAGAACCCCCATAATGCAGCCTAAATAACGTTAGTGTTGCTATTAGTTCATTGATTCGATGACCTGTAAGGCTTACTGGGCTTTGCTTCTCTGACCTTAACTACAAAACATCACCGTGATGATTGATGGATTTCTTGGATCTACTTAGCGGGCTGCAGTAGATGCTCCACTGCAGGCTGTCGACCCCTACGCAACTCAAAGGAGCAACGCGACTAAAATGCTCCACTACTAGTTTATGCAAAATACTGCGATCGGTGAACAGTACCGGCGCTTCGGTCACCCTTACGCGCTCAGGTTAATGCCGCTAATATTGGCCACAAACTGCCTCTGCTGGTGATGAACTCCTCATCACCAGCAGATCAATCATCGCCCTGGTATTACCGCCACCGCCGTGTCGACCGGTGTCCACGCCGAGACAGAGGTGGCCCAGACCTTGGGTTTGCTCGGACTCCCCGGCGTCGGCTATGGCGCACCCGGCTACGGATACGGCGCCGGCCCCGCGCTCAGTGTCGGTGTGCCTGGCCTCGCGAGTGTCGGCGTCGGTGTGGGCAACGGCGGTGTTGGTGTCGGTGCCAACGTGCTGGGCCTCGGAGCGCACGTTGGTGTGGGCTTGCCCGGTGTCGGCTATCCTGCGGGCTATCCTGTGAACGGCCCCGCCTACAACAACGCCCCCCCCCGCCTATTGTCAATAGCGCCCCCGCCTACAACAACGCTCCGGTTACTATTGTGAATGGCGCCCCTGCTACGACGGCTACGACTACTGGCCCCAATGGTGCGTCCACTGCGAACGCGAACGCCAATGCGAATGCGAACGGCGGCAACAACCCCTACTCGACCAAGACGGTCTCCGTCACGAACGGAGACGGCACGTCGAACACGGCGTCCGTGTCGAACGGAAATGGTGCCGCCGCGACGGGTGGTGCATCAGCGAGTGCTACGGCCAGCGCCAGTGCGAGTGCGTCTGCTCGGGTCACGGCTGGAGTGGGGGCCACGTCGTCTCAGAAGACGTACTGCCAGCTTCGCTCGGTGGAATGAGCGAGGCAAGTGTACCCTCTTAGGGGAGCTCGTCGAGGTGCCGTGAGCACCTCTTGGTGAACGAACGGGCTTTGTGTCGCGTGCGCGGTTTCGAGTCGTCTTGCTGTGATTTTCTCCTCGTAGCGTATGATGGATGTTGTTCTTTTGGTCGTTTGAGTAAGGAGTTTCAATGCAATGCAATGCAATGAATTCGAAGGTTTGTGTGAGACTTTGCGCATTCGAGTGCGTGTTGTAACAGCACAGTTGTTGGCCTGTGGTTTTGTATATACGCACCCGGCAGCAGGCAGAGAAACAGAAAAAAGCAAACACCTCTGGACAGTATGCTTCTCGTTGCGCTCGCTTGTCGCTAGTGTTAGATCATACCAAAGTCAAGGCAGCAATTCGATCCGATACTTTGGGATTTCCTGGTCTCCGATTGGTTGAGTGCAACTTCAACAAAGAACATACAAATACTAGTATGAAGCAGATCATTCAAAATCAAAGTAGAATCGCCAAGGCCGGGCCAACACGAGCCGAGCCGAGCCGAGCAGAGTACAGCCGAGCAGAGTAAAGCAGAGCAGAGCCAAGTAGCCTTTGAGGTTGCAGTATGTAGTAGCATCAACCGTGTACGCAGGTTATCATCGTTCAGCGTGCCGCGCCTTCGCCACGTCTCGTCCACATCAAGAAGCTTGCCAAGGCCTCGACACTACAGTTCCATCACCATTGGTGATTCACCAAGCTGAGCCGTGGAATGCGAATAAGAACGGGTAGAGAGTAGGAACCGACAAAAGGTCCCCGCCATACAGAAATTCGGGCAAAACATACAGAGGTGCGCATCCAAAACATACATACAAAAACTGCACAAACGCCACATGTTTGGATTAGCACACGGCGTCGATCTTGCCAAGAAGCCGCATTCGCAATCTTGCCAAGCAGCAGAATTCTCGTAACTCCGCCGTGGGGCAGAATTACTTTTTCACGCTTGTACTGCATAGCAAGGCAAAGTCCGTGTCGAACTATGCACTGAAAATTTAACGGCGGTGATTAAGGCAGTGTAACAAGGCTCAATGCTTGCTCACAAAGTTTGTATACGCAGTACACTGGCATTTGTAGTCCGTCAATCGAAAAGCCGATTGATGGAATTTGAAATCCTGGATTCTCCAGAAGAGCCTGATTGATGTATTAGCTTAATCACTCAATCGGAAGACATTCGATCTACGTCTGTAGATTTCACTTCTGAATTTCGACACAGGGACGCGTATCACCAGCTCCATGACTCGCTACCCTCGTTACGGTTTCCCGGGCTCGACTGATACGTGTTGCAGAAGGACGATGGGACTTCCACGAGGGGGCAGCGGGTATACTGGGCGAAGAAAGCAACCAGCTCCTACTGCGATCTTAACAAGCATGTCGTGTCAATTCAAGTGCGTCGGAGCGGCAGATGCAACTTATCTCTGCCGCGACTCGAGGGTGAACGGCAGCAGTATGATTCCTCGTATGTACGAAATCGGCCGAGCGCAATTGCGAGAAACACGGTCCACGGTTGCGACGATCCGTCCACTACCGCTGCTGCATGTGAGGTGGCTTCTTTTAGTGATCATGCGACTGGCGAAACTGCAAGTGCTGCATTCCATGTACCTGATAAAAGTGCTGCTGTGCAGAAGGGCCTGGCCTGCGTGAAAACTACATGGAAAGTTTTTGCTATCATCGACAGGACTGCAGTCGGTCGAGGTTTTCGATACCGCGTTAAGTGGTGTGACGAACTGGATGGTCATCGGTGGGAAGACACTTGGGAGCCTGGTTTCATGTTACGCAAGGATGGTTTTAGCGATGGTTGCAGTATTGTAGACGCATGGAAAGCTTCCGACGAGGCAGACTTCTACCGCTTCTGCAGCAAGAATGGGCATGTCCATTTAGTGGGAGCCTCGCCTGGGGATCC